CAAAAGCTCGTTCGTTTGTTAATCGAGCCGAGTTCGAACATAAAACTAGGCTCGTTTAATAATCGAACGAACACGAGCTCGTTTGTGAACGTTCGATTATGTTCGCAAACATTAATTTAACCATAAGTTTATTATATTTTTATATATTTACATAATATTTTTTATAAGAAACCTAAAATTTAATAAAAATTTATTTATTTTTTATATATCTACGTAATATTTTTAATAAAATATCTAAATATATTAATATTTTGATTTTATTCTTTTATTTTCGAGTTCGAACGAACAAATTTCGAGTTAATTCAAACATATTTAAAAAGTTTATATATTATATTATTCGAACATGAACGAACTTGAACCTTGACGAACAATTAAACGAACGAACTCGAACACGATTTTTTGCTTGAAAAATAAACGAACGAACACGAACAATGTTCGAACGTAAACAAACACGAGCTCGAACAGCCCAAGCTCGGTTCGTTTACAGCACTACTTGTGAGTGATGTTAAAAAATAAAAAATGTGGGGATGCAAAAAATAATTTAAGAGGAAGACAAATTACAATTTTTAGTTATAATAGTAAAAAAAATAAAATTTGAGGGGGGGCAATTGCCCCCTAGTGATGAATGTAAGGATCATCCAAATTCGCCCATGTTAAGCGTGTAACTTAGTTGCCAAGATCCAGAATATGTTTGAGTAAGGATCATCCAAATTTTGTGAACAAAATATTGTGTCATTCCTTTATTTATACTTCTCAAAGCCCATCGTGTAAAATTTGATTCCAAAAATTGTGGCCAATGATATAAATGAATTGCTTAATCTATTATTATTTATTACTATATAATAGAAAGAGATTAACTTGAAATAATATTGAAATTCCGGTCGAAAATTTTCAAAGTTACAATTCTTAGTAATTTTTTTAAATGGTGGTTGAATGAAAATTCGAATTCAAATTTTTAAAAAAAAAAAAAATGTTATTTGAGTAAGATATTGTGTAAATCTTAATTCCTAAAAATATGAAAAATGATTTCCTTAAATGCTATGAGTAAATCTGACCAATAATGGAATAAATCTTCAAAATCTTTCTCCCAAAAAATCCGATCAATCATTTACTTACATTTTTCGGTAAAATGTGTAGATTTATTTACAAAAATCCGGCCATCATTTAACGAATAAACTTTTGAATTTTTTTGAAATCTTTTCGAAAAGTCATGCTAGCTTAGTTATTAAATATTTTTTATCTATATTTATCTATTTACAAATCTCATATTTTATGATAACAACTAAAAATTTGTATCTATATCTATATCTATATAAAAAGGTTTGATTATTTTTAAATAGTAACTATTTCCCTAAAAAAAATCTATTTACTATTTCGGGAAATTAAATTAACAATTAATGGTATTTATCAAATGAACACATATGAAAATTGCGGCTCATTATTTAAGGAAATAATTAAGCCATATTTTAAAATATCTTAATTACTCAAATCATGTGAATTAATTAATATATGATATAAAGTGGACTAATTTATTTTTGGTATTGATGGTTGTTTCTATAAGAAATAAATTAATAATATATGGTATAAAGTGAGCAAATTTATTTAGATTATTTGATGACTGTTTTTTGGTAGAAAATTTGTTGAAAACTTAATCAATATACGGTGTACTTTTTTCTATAATGCGCAGTCCAATATATTGGTTTTTAGGCATGTATTTTCAATTTTCGTATGAAATTAACATTATAAAATTACCGTAACTCCGACAAAATATTATGAACATATATTTGATATAATGAGGGTATATCGATTTTTGTTTTATAGAAAACTCTCTGGTCAATTTTTCATTAGTGGGTCTTGATTTAATTCATTTTTCGTTATGAAATTTCAAATAAATTTTGTGTGAAATGCACTGTTCATTTTTTTTAGCATGATAAGGAGTGTCCATTTTTTTCGCATAAAAATTTAAAGACTGATTGTTTTTACTCAACTACTTAAATATTTCGATTTGCATATTTTATACAAAAATAAATTTATTTTAATTAATGAAATAAAATAAGTTTTATATTTATACTTATTATTCACATAGGTTTTTAAATATAGGATAAATTTTTACCAAAATAATTATTTTATGGAATCACATTATATTCAAATTGAATTTCTGAATAAAATTTTTGAAATGACACATATTTTGAAATGAATATAATGTAATTTATTATCAGTTATATGCAACGAGCAGTTTGTGTACTAATTTTAAATAGACATTTTTATATAATTTTGCACAATTTAAATTTTATATAATATTTTCAATAAATTAATATAGGTACATTGTATTACATATTGATTCCATGCTTTTAATTTATAAATATTATTTAATGAGAATTTTTAATTTATAAATATTAATGAATACTCTTACCCGTGCATCGCACAAGATTCGTACTAGTTATACATTTAAAGCGTATATTAACCTATTATATACCATAAACATTAAAAAAAGTTAAAAGTTAATATAAATTCAAATCTATTTTTATGTTAATGAATATTCCTTGGCAAAATTTTAAAATTGGTCCTATAACTTGGCCACTGTCCAAAAAATCACCCCGATATTGACCACTTTCAATTTAGATCCTATAATTTGTCGATTTCATCAATTTTGGTCCTTTTTTATCCGCCCCTGGATTACAAAGTGACGTGGCATGACGTGTCAGTTTTTCAATGTTACATGGCGTGATTATGATCTACGTGGCACGTCAATTTTGGTCCTATAATTTGACGATTTCATCAATTTTGGTCCTTTTTTCATGCCACGTCACTTTTTAATCCAGGGTACGGATAAAAAAGGACCAAAATTGATGAAATCGACAAATTATAGGACATAAATTGAAAGTGGTCAATATCGGGGTGGTTTTTTGGACAATGGCCTAATTATAGGACCAATTTTGAAATTTTCCCGATATTCCTTCACTGTTTTAATTTGTATTACTTATCAATATAGTCTTATTTTAATTTGTATTACTTATCAATATAGTCTTGTGCATCTCACAACCTATGCAGTAGTAAACGCAAAAACTTTTATGCAAGTAGACCAATTAGTGGAATATTTATGAGATTTTGTTACTTTTTATATGACAATCGGGTGCAATTTTCAACAAATTATATACTACTAGTATGTGGCCCGTGCGATGCACGGGTAAATAATATTAAATAATAATTATAAATTGAAGATATAGATAAATAATATGTATTCGTTTAGGATTTTGAGTGCCACTTTGAGATTTTTTAAGATTTGAGACTTTTAAGATAGGTCAAATTTTAGAGGAATACTATGAAATCTTAAGTGTGAATGTGAGATTTTTAGAGTGAAATTTTGTATAATGTTTTTTTCTTTTAAATCATAACTAACCTTAAAAAGACCTAACAAACCTTGATCTCAAATAAGTTAAATATTTAAGGATATTTTAAGATTTTTTTTAATATTTAAATATCAAAGATGAACCGCTTTGTTACCAAAAAATGTGGACACAATTTTGAATGTACATCCCGTCCAAATATCAGTTTTATTCTAAAATAAAAATTGCACGTGGTTTTATCCAATTTACACACTTTTTTTTTGAAAGAAAAAATTATTCAATAAGATTGGAAGAATTGGTTAAGAATTATACAACTATTTGTTTCCAAAATTTGTATCCAATTTGTATGGTTTTTAAGTTAATTTGTATTTAGAATTGTTTTCATAAATAATTGACACACTTTTTGCATAAGAATATCCAAACTTCAAACTTAATACCAAAAAATATATGATTTAAATTTTGGTAAAAAAAAATAAAATATGATACGAAAAAAATAGAATTCAAATTTTGCCATAAGAATCTCCAAATTAGTTACCAAAAAAGAAAGGATTCAGATTTTGTTACTAAAGATTCACATGTATTTTTTTGAACTTTCTATTAATAGTAAGTCAAGCATTATATTTATTTGGTCAAATTTTATATTAATATATTTTTCCAACAATCTCTTTATATATATATATATACATATATATATATATAAAATTTTAAATCTTTTGAGTTGACCTATCCGTACATGTTTGAATTATGTGTGACAGCTAAAATGCTATTATAATTAGGTTTAGTGACTGTTAATAACACTTGAATTATGTGTGAATAAAATGCTAATATAATTAAGTTTAATGGCAGTTGATAGCACATAAATATGTGTAAGTAGACAAATTTATGCAAGTAGACAAATGAATGGAATATTTATGAAATTTTGTTATTGGATGGCAATTTTAAACAAATTAGTCCTAATTGTCGGTAATAACGCTACATTACACTGTTTGACAATTTTAACTGAACTTTTGAATATTAGAGCATCTCCAATGTGACTTTTGACATTGCAAAATATTATCCATATCATCAACTTTTGAAAGTTTATTACTAATTTATTCTCCAATGCATCTTGTCATTAGCTCTTTCATTATGATGTGGATGGCATTTAATGTTAACAATGTTGAACTCACTTTCTAATATCTAACACCATGTTAAACATGATGACTCATTAATTCACTTTATATTTGGTTTAATTTTTTATTATTCTTGTATTAATGAATTATTATAATTGGTCCACCTATACAAATAAATTCTTATCAAATTGGTGCATTGGAGATACTAGTTTGATTCAAATTTTTAGTCTTTTAACATTATTCTTATGTGGATTAGCATTACAATCATCAATTGACATGTGTTAAAAATTACTGCCTTTCAACACCATAGCATTGGAGATGCTCTTAGTAAACAAAGCATAACATTATCTTCATATTTGCAGCCCGAACTCAAATCCCATCGAATGCGATAGTTTAGTCAGCGTGTCCGGCTTGGCTCCTACGTAGATTTATCTTTTGGCTAACATGGTATTTAATTATGATGTGGTATAAATGAACAAACACATTGAATATGTCGACTTCCTCCCCCCAGGAATTCCCAATATATTTTTTAACCTTAACCTTAAATTGGAGTTGTGTAGTTATAATTGTTGATGTTGGATCCGAGAAATCGATCATAAAATGATTCTTCGACGATGGGATTTAGAAATTGACGATGAAACAATAGCTCGATGGATTTCAGATCGCCGTCCCCCGCACCCTGTAGTTTCTCGATCCACGACTCGGTGATGTTACCATCATCGTCCGCCAGCTGCAGCACATAGATAGCGGACCTCGCGAGGGCAGACTACGCCTTGTCGTGGAAGAGGACCAACAAGACACGGTTGTGGCGACCAATGATGATGTTGGCAGTGTGGATGTCGTGGTCACTGGCGGTGCGGAGAACGGCAGCATTTGCCCGGCAGGTGACGGAGGCGGGGGCCTGCTCGCAGACCACACACGACTTGTTGTGCAACAAGAATAATCATTATTAGCGATACTAATTTTAGTGACGACATTAATGTCATGATTATAAAATGATTATTGTGACGACATTCGAACATATAATGACATTATTAGCGACGGTATTTTTTGTGACGACATTTGAATAAATGCGACAAAAATTTTCGCCACTAAAAATAATTATTCTTGTGGTAAGGCGTCGTAGTGGTGGGCAGGCGACGCACATAAAGGCGGAGTCGGCAACGCAGAAGAGCAGGGCCACCACCGACCGGCAACAGTCGCATGGCCGCACTGCCACTGGCAGCCCTGTCGAGAAAAGCCTCGCACTAGCCGCGACTTTGCCTTCTTGAACCATTCCTATTTCATTAAATATCCTTTGAAATTTTTATTCTTTTAATTTTGTTTTACCACGTCGTTAAATAAATACCATGTCACCTAAAAAATTTGTCCATATAAAAGCTAAGCCGGATACGCTGACAAAAATATCACTGCGGGCAGGATTTTTTAGGTTGCAAATCTGTAGACAAAATTATGTTTTATTAGCTAATATTCAAAAGTTTGATTAAAATTGTCAAAAAGTGTAAGGTAATGATATTGCCATCAATTATTTTAAATTTTCTACTCGACTTATCCAATGGTACCATTGGTTTCACTCTAGGATATATCGAAGTTTGCGACACAATGTACATTATTTACCTATCACACCATTTTTGGAATAAGCAACTTTCACGCCTACAATTATGTAGGGTGGTATATCAATATTTATCCAATGTCAAAAGCATCATTTTATTTATTATAAATGGTGTGTACCCTGCGATGCACGAGAACAATATTAAATTAACAATATTATAAATAAACCTCGAGTTTGAATCACTCAATGGCGGAAGTGGAAACTACTATTTATCCTATTTAAAAAGAGGAAGAAAAAAATAATAATTATAAATTAAAGAGGAGGACAAATAATACTTAATAATTAAAAATTAAAAATTTGGGGTCGTAAAATTATTTTGTATAAGAGAATAAAAAAAAATTGATTACACACCATTTCAAAATTATTATTATTATACTTTTTTGTATGGTTAACTTATAATATTTGTAAAAATATTAGTAATTAGACCGATAAAAATTAACTTCTTAAATTAGATAATGAATTTCTAGTAGTAATTATGAATTGTTTTTTATTTTATTTTATTTTTTCTTTTTAAAGATAATAGATTTCTAGTAGTAATTATGAATTGATCTCTATTTTATTTTATTTTTTCAAATTTGTATAGATAAGGGATGGGATTTTTTAAACACGAGATGTATGCAATGAGATTTTGTAACAAAAGAGATAAACTCGTATAGATTTATACAAAAAATAGGAAAAAGAAAGACAAATATTTATTGTCAAACAATGATTTTGATAAACTAAAAAAAGAAAAAAGAGAAACAAATCTTTAAGAGCCGATTTTTTTGTCTATTCTTATTTGTCTAACAATTATTATATATAGGATATATTTAATGATTTTGGCGGGAAAAAGTTTCTAAATTTATAAAAAAATTATTTTTTTATATAATGATAACCATATCCCTAGAATTTATAACTACATGGAGTTCAAGGGTTGAGAAAACACACACCANACACACGCACAGCTAGTTTAATTTCACTCAAAGTCCACTATCATGGTTCTTCCCCTTAATGTATTTTACACCCTCATACCCATTACCCTCTTCTCGCTCCTTCTCCCTATTGTGTCGTCGGCCCTTAACGATAACAAAGCAAAAAACTACATCATCCATGTGAAGAAGATGAATCCAAGCTCGACAGGCGGTGCCGAAACCCAAGACACAATCAGGAGCTACCACAAGTCATTTCTTCCCCAAGGAGCCAAACACTCGCTCATCCACTCGTACAAGCATGCCATGAGTGGATTCTCGGCAAGAATAACAGCCAAACAAGTTAAAATCATCAGGGAGACAGAAGGCGTTATCTCGATCCTCCCAGATAGTACATCCCAGCCACTGACAACTCGTTCCCCAGGATTTCTGGGGCTGAACCAGTGGAGTGGAGCCTGGCCGCAGACGGGGCTCGGCGATGGAGTCGTCCTCGGGGTCATCGACGGCGGGATTACCCCGGGCCACCCCTCATTCAATGGCTCCGGCATGTCGCCCCAGCCTACCAGCTGGAAGGGGAGGTGCGACCTGCCTGACAAGTCTGGGTGCAACAACAAAGTCATAGGCGCTCGGGCTTTCCAAGGGAGAAACACCTCCGCCTTGCCGGTGGACAGTTACGGACACGGGACCCACACGGCCAGCATAGCCGTCGGGGCCTTTGTTCCCGACGTAAGCATCCAAGGCAACACCGCTGGGACCGCGTCCGGGATGGCCCCACGCACTCACCTCGCGGCGTACAAAGTTTGCTTTGCTGGAGATTGCCAAGGAAACGACATTCTAGCCGGTATTGACGCCGCCATCGAGGATGGGGTGGACGTGCTGTCCATATCGTTGGGCGGTGTGTCCAAACCGTTTTACGAGAACTTTATAGCGACGGGCAGTTTTGCGGCGGCCAAGAAAGGAATCCTCACGAGCGCGGCGGGGGGAACGACGGTCCTTCCGCCTCGACGGTGGTCAACGACACGCCCTGGCTTCTCACCGTCGGGGCAAGCACGATCGATCGAAGGATTCGGGCCACGGCGAAGATGGGAAATGGATTGGCGTTTGACGGGGAGTCCGTGTTCCAGCCCGGAAACTTCTCTTCTCAAAAGTTGTGGCCGCTCGTCTACTACAATGGGTCGTCGTTGGCGGGGTTCGATGTTAGGGAGAAGATTGTGCTGTGCGACAGAGATTCTATAACTTCATCGGCAGAGGAAGTTAAGAATGCTGGTGGGGCCGCCGTGATACTGGCCAACACCGAAGATGCTGGGTTTATCCACGAGTCTTATCTCGTCGACTTACCATCCACGACAGTGTCCTTTCTGGCGGGCCAAGAAATAAAGGCCTACATAACGTCAACATCCTCCCCGATGGCAACAATCTCGTTCGAGGGGACAGAGCTCGGGAACCCGATTTCTCCCGCCGTCTCATATTTCTCGTCCAGGGGGCCCAGCAAGCAAGCTCCTGGGGTTTTGAAACCGGACATCATTGGGCCGGGCGAGAACATTGTGGCCGGGTCAAATCATCTGAGCCCGTATAGTTTAGGGATGACATTCACGATGGTGTCGGGCACATCAATGTCGTGTCGTCATCTCAGTGGGGTCGCGTCCCTGATCAAGAGTGCCCACCCCGAGTGGTCGGCAGCGGCCGTGAAATCAGCTATCATGACCACCGCGTACCTCGTCAATGCCCATGGAGTACCGATTCTCGACCAGAAACTTACTCCGGCCAATATCTACGCAGCGGGGGCCGGCCATGTCGACCCGAATAGGGCGCTGGATCCTGGTCTGATTTACGACATTGAAATGGATGAGTACGTCCCGTTTTTGTGCGGCTTGGGGTACACAGAGGACCAGGTGCAGATGATCACACAGCAGCCAGTCAATTGCTCGTCGAGAATCTCTCAGGGACAGCTGAACTACCCCACGTTCTTGGCTTCGCTCGGCTCGTCCCAGAATTTCTCCCGAACCGTCACCAATGTGGGAGAGCCTGTATCGTGTTACTCCGTCAGCGTAGTCAACCCCTTGGGTGTGAGTATTGTCGTGAGGCCATCGAGGATGTGTTTCACGAGGTTGAAGCAGAAGGCGACGTACTACGTGACGTTTCACCCAAGGAAGAACGACAACGGTTGGGGGAATAATGAAACTGTTGCACAAGGCTTCTTGCTCTGGGAATCAGGAAAGCACAGAGTCATGAGTGTTATAGCTATCAACATGACTGGACAAGACTTCTAATTTTACCAGTTATCAACTCTTATTTAACAAGAATAGTGTTTTGCTTTATGTGTGTCACCTTTTGAATAAAACAACTGTGGAGGTACACTGTGATCAAAACAGGAATAAAATTCACCTAAAGAATGTAATAAATAGGGGCACTTGATTCCCCTTTATATATGTCTGTAATAATATTTTATATTATTCTATTATTGTGGACCATATAATTAGTTGGACCTAATTGAATTAATAGTCAAACTAATTTAAGGTGAATATATATTTAATGGATTATTAATGTTCTAATATTAAAGAGTCCAATTTGTGATGTTTGACTTGGACAATAAGTTAGGTTAGAACATGGGGAATGTTAGTAGGAATAGGTTTGTAGGACTCCTCCTATATATACTACATGCCCTTCTCTCCCATCTCATACGCAAATAAAGTTCTCAACATCAAGGGCTTTGTAAAAAAGACAAGAGAAGCGGGAGAGAGAAACAATTCATAGGCAAAGGGGAGTCCATCATTGAAAATTACGAGAAAGATAGATCCATGACATTACGAGGGGGAGAGAGAAACAATTCATAGGCAAAGGGGAGTCCATCATTGAAAATTACGAGAAAGATAGATCCATGACATTACGAGGACGAAGAGATCGCAAATCAACATCATAGATCAAGAAAACAGGGAAGATAGATCCATGACATTACGAGGACGAAGAGATCGCAGATCAACATCATAGATCAAGAAAACAGGGAAGGACTATAAGCTGGATTCTTGTAAGTTCTATGTGCAATTTAATTTATGCAACGATCCATATTCTATGAACTGATAGAATTACATGCTTAGGGTTTATTCAATTCCGCCTGATAGTTATGAGTATGCCCGTTAAATTTCTTACATGTGGTATCAGAGCATGTGTTTATGCATATGATTAAATTGCCGATCACAGTTTATTACATCCTGTGCTAAATTAAGATTGCAAATTGGTATTGGGAATTATGTGTTTTTCTGTATGTTCTGCCATGATGGTTTCAACATAATGAATTGAAGTTATTTACAAGATATGATTTTATTGCTACTCTATTTTTCATATAATTTGTAAAATCGGATTATTGGATGATTTAATTCGATTAAGATTATATGCCAAAGTGTTCTGCCATCATTAGTTGTTTGGTATTACGGGAATTGATTCTAAGGGCATTAAATTTTATCAATTGTGGCATGACTGAATTATTTTGTACGGCATGCTCTTGACATGGGTCGAGATCTTACAGCAGCTTTTAGTTCTATTTTGATTTGTTTTGGTATGAACTTTATTACAGTTAATTTCTTTGATGATAGAGATTAATCAAATATGAATAATCTCATAATATACACATTGAATAAACTAATTTTCTAATTATATTATCTATGTAAAGAAACTAGTTAGTCACCAAAGTGGCCTAGTTTAATTTATGGAATAGATAATTAAATTAGATGAAATATAATTAAAATAAAATATTATCTAATTATATTATCTATGTAAGAAACTAGTTAGTCACCAAAGTGGCCTAGTTTAATTTATGGAATAGATAATTAAATTAGATAAAAGTATCAATTATTCAAATATAAGACGATGTCTTATTAATGTACCACAATATTATAATATTTGGATAATTGATGTTATAGATTATAAACTAGGAGGACACCCAAAGGTAGGCCATGGTTTGTAATATATGACAATAAAAGAGAAATTATATTAAAGTTAGGTTAATTAGTGTGTTTGTCCAAAGATAACCACTAATTAATCACAATACCTATAATTTCTATTAAAGATCTTTCCTCTTAGGCATCAATCAAGTATATTATATATTTAAGTATTTGCCCAAAGGTATATTTAAATATATAATTTAAAAGTTTTATGAATCCATTAATTTTATCTCAAAGCTTAATTAAATAGCATGTATTAAAGTTTGCAGCGTTCAAAATTTGGTTATCCATACAGTATTCAATTGGCTGAACTTCAATGAATGGTCTAAGCATATCCAATTTCAGTTAGGTTCAGTGAATTTGGATATGACTCTAATTATTGATGAAGTTCCCACAACCATTACTGATGAGAGCTCCAAAGTAGAGGTAACTCTACGTAGGGTATGTGAGCAATCAAATAGGTTGTGTTTGAATTTTATGAAGTTAATCAAGGCGGATAACATTAAAGCCAATAATGCAAAAGAATTCCTAAATAAAAATCAAGGATTATCTCCATTTAAAATTGCGGGAAAAGTTTATTGTGGAAAGTTTCATTAATGTACTCTCCACTATGAAAGTTCATCTGATTCCGCTCCATCCATGATTTTGTGATCCATGTGTTCCACATATAAGCTAAACTTGCAAACATGAGAATGAATGTGATAGACTCATTTATGGTTTTATTCATCATGAACTCCTTACCTGTCGAGTTTGGTCAATCCTAGGTGAACTATAACACCATTAAAGATAAACGGGATTGTAAGCAAATTAAGGCTATACTGGTGCAGGAAGAGATGGGAATAAATGAGATGAAAGAAGAGTCGATTCACTTTATATCTCATGTGAGAGCCAATAATAGTAAGACAAAATGGGAAATAAAGGTAAATAAAAGGAGATTGACTTACTTGAAGTTTTTGAAGGTCCAATCATTAAAGAAATGAGGTATTATTTCTGTAAAAAGTTAGGTCACCTCATGAGAGATTGCCCGAAATAAAATCTTGATTCGAAAAGAAAACATACATTAAACTTTCGTATGTTGTGAATCAAATTTATTAAAGATTCCCAATAATACTTGGTGGCTTGATTCTGTGCAACTACTTATGTATCTCATATTTATTTTTGGGTTAAACATAGTGCACATAATCAATACTATACTCCCTTATGGCATTAAAGATTCTAGTCACATATCCGAAGAAAAGTTTTGAGAATGGTGAATAATGAAACTATTTCTCATTTGGATTTTAGTGATCAAGATGTATGTGTAGAATGAATTAAAGAAAAGTAAACTAGACATACATTAAAGAGATCTGCCAAGAGAAACACTAAAATTTTATAACCTATTTACACTAATTTTTGTGGTCTATTCAACGTCCCTTTGTGGGGTGATGTAAAGTATTTAATCACCATTATAAATGATTTATCATGTTATAGTTATATTTATCTACTACATGAATAAACTCAATCATTGGACTATCCAAAGATATACAACGATGAGACGGAGAGGTAGTTAGATAAATAAGTAAAAGTTGTGAGATCTCACTAGAGTGGTGAATATTAATGTAAGTTCAATGAAAGAGGATAATATCTAGTCCATTTGCAAAGTTTCTTGAGATTTGAAATATTTGTGTGCAATACACTATAATTGAGACTCTTCAACATAATGGTGTTGCTGAGAGGATAAACCGTACTTAAAGAATATGGTTAGAGATATGTTGAGCAATTCAACATTAACGTTTTCTATGTGGATGCATCAAAGATTGCTGCATATTAGGTAAACTGGGTTTCTAGTAAAGTAGTTCCTAAAATATCTTATGAACTATGGAAGGGTAGGAAACCTAGTTTGAGGCACCTTCATATTTGAGGGTGTCAAGCATAAATAAAAGTATATAATCCACATGAAAAGTAACTTATTCCTAGGACAGTCAGTGGTTATTCATTGGCTATCCGAAATGTTCTAAAGGATATAAGTTTTACAGGACTAACCATAGTACGAGAATAGTTGATTCCAGCAATGCTCGATTCATTGAAAATGTTCAAATAAGTGGGAGTTTGAAACTGCAAAGTTTGGATGTTAAAGAAACTCAGGTTGAACAGTCCAGACCCGAGTGTCCATCAATGGTTGTTATTCTTGTAGTTACAGTATCGTCATGTAACTTAGATGAATAACAAAACGATCCAAACTCACTTGATAATGAATCATCACAAAGCAATCAAGAAATTATAGAACAACCTTTGGTTGATAAAATCACAAGCCATGAAAAGTAAAAATTCTGAAAAGTTTATCAATGCCATGAAAGAATAATTAAAGTCAATGGATGAAAATAAAGTCTTCAATTCAATTGATTTACCTGAAGGGTCTAAAAGAGTTGGGTGTAAATGGGTTTTTCAGAAACCAAACACAACTCTAAAGGTAATATCGAAAGATATAAAGTTAGACTTGTTTCTAAAGGTTACACCCAAAAGGAAGGCATTGACTACAAGGAAGAATTATGTCTCGTTTCAAAGAAAGATTCCTTGAGAATTGTAATGGTAATGGTGGCTCTGTATGACTTTGAGCTTTATCAAATGGACATAAAGATCACCTTCTAAATGATAAACTTAGAAGGAGATCTACATGAACTAATTAAAAGTTTTTTAGATCATAAGAAATGAAACATTAGTGTGTAAGTTGAATAGATCGATATATGGACTAAATAAGTCTCTCGTCAATGGTATCTTAAGTTTAATGATACCATCACTGCTTATGGTTTTGTAGAGAATACCGTAGATCGGTGTATCTACATTAAGGTCAGTGGGAGTAGATTTATTATTTAGTTTCGTATGTCGATGACATATTATAGTTGCTAATAATGTGGACATGTTGCACGAAGTAAAGTATTCTCTCTAAAAAGATATGAAATAAAGGATGTGGATGAAACGTCCTTGCTAATTGGAATAGAAATATTATGAAATAGATCACAAGGACTAAAAGTTTATCCCATAAAAGTTTTATTTGAGAGATAATGGATGGTGGTTCCGTATAATTCCAATTCATAAAAGGGACGCATTTAATCTAAAATAAATGTCCGAAAGGTGAAATGGAATGAAAAGTGATGGAGAAAATTTCTTAGATATAAATGATTAGGAATCTTAAGAAGGACAAACCTGTACTAGGTTTGATAATATATTTGTTGTTGGAACATTAAAACAAATATATAAAAGTGATCCCTAAATGATTATTTAAATGCTGCAAAGAAATTTTTTAAAGTATTTACAAGGCATTAAAGAACACATGCTAATTTAAAGAGGATCCA